TCCCATTTGCCAGCATTTGGCTCATATCCCTCTAAACTCTTCCTACTCATGTACCTATTCAGATGCCTTTTAAATGTTATAATTATACCAGCCTCCACCACTTCCTCTGACAGTTCATTCTATACACGCACCACCCTCTGCATGCAAAGGTTGCCCCTGAGGCTCCTTTTCAATCTTGTCTGTCTCACTTTAAACATATGCCTTCTAGTTTTGAACTCCTCTACACTGGGAAAAAGGCCTTGGTTATTCACTTTACCCGTGCCCCTCATTATTTTATCAACCCCTGCAAGGTCTCCCCTCAACATCCAGTACTCCAGAGAAAATAGCCCTAGCCTATTTAGCCTCTCCGTATTGCTCAAACCCTCCAACCCCGGCAACACCTTGAAAATCTTTTCTGAACCCTTTCAAGTTTAACAATATCCTTCCTATAGCAGGGAGACCAGAATTGAACGCAATATTCCAAAAGTGGCCTAACCAATGTCCTATACATCTGCAACATGATATCCTAACTCAATGCACTGACCAATAAAGGCAAGCATACCAAAAATCTTCACTATCCTATCTACCTGTGACTCCACCTTCAAGGATCTATGAATTTGCACTCCAAAGTCTCTTTGTTCAGCAACACTCCCCAGAACCATTACATATATAAGTCCTGCCCCGATTTGCCCTTCCAACATGGAACACCTCACACCTCACATTTATCTAAATTAAACTCCATCAGCCACTAGATGTTCTATCTTCATAGACAGCTAGTAAGGAATGGAAGCAATTGGCACAATTTATTATTGAGGTATGCCTTGAGCAGAATTGACAGATGGGACCTTTTAAGGCAGAAGGAGTAATGGAGGCAAGTATTGAGAATCACATTGCTCTTTCCAAAGGAATGCACAAATCTTCCCACATCCTCCTGCCTAATATCAGCACATGATTAATTGCTCACTTTTATCATTGATCGAGAGAGCTTGCTATATGCTAATGGGCTGTTGTATCACATAATAACAGCGACCAGACTTTGAAATGAAAGCATTGGTGCTGAATTGCTTTGTGATAGTTCGAGCAGTTGAAAGATGGCATATAAATACCAGAGCTTTGTTAAGCTCATTGATAAGAACAGAATAACATAAGAAGTAGGAATAGGAGTAGGCTGCCTGATCCACCATTTAATACAAATCATGGCTGATCTCATCTCGGCCTCAACTCCACTTTCCTGCCCGCTTTCGCTAAAAGTAGGATTGCAGGTGCAGCAGGTAATTAAAAAGGCAAATGGAATTTTGTCTGCCATTGCTAGAGGGATGGAGTTTAAAAACAGGGAGGCTATGCTGCAGCTGTATAGGGTCCTGGTGAGGCCACACCTGGAGTACTGCGTGCAGTTTTGGTCTCCTTACTTGAGATATACTAGCACTGGAGCGGGTGCAGAGGAGATTTACTCAGTTGATTCCAGAGTTGAGAGGGTTGGATTATGAGGAGAGACTGAGTAGACTGGGATTATACTCATTGGAATTCAGAAGAATGAGGGGAGATCTTATAGAAACATAGAAGATTATGAAGGGAATAGATAAGGTGGAGGCAGGGAGGTTGTTTCCGCTAGCAGGTGAAACTAGGACTAGAGGGCATCGCCTCAAAATAAAGGGAAGCAGATGTAGGACTGAGGTCAGGAGGAACTTCTTCACCCAAAGGGTTGTGAATCTGTGGAATTCCCTGCCCAGTGAAGCGGTTGAAGCTACCTCGCTGAATGTTTTTAAGGCAAGGCTGGATAAATTTTTGAACAGTAAAGGAATTAAGGGTTATGGTGAGCGGGCGGGTAAGTGGAGCTGAGTCTCAAAAAGATCAGCCATGATCTTATTAAATGGCGGGGCAGACTCGAGGGGCCGGATGGCCTACTCCTGCTCCTAGTTCTTATGTTCTTATGTTCTTTTCCATAACCCTTTAACCCATTACTAATTAATAATCTATCTATTTCCTCCTTATTCAGGTCCCAGTATTTACCACACTCTGGGGTAGTGCATTCCACAGAATCATGATGCTTTGAGAGAAGTAACTCCTCCTCATCTCTGTTTTAAATCTGCTACCCCTCATCCTAAAATTATGACCTCTCATTCTAGAAGTGCATTAAGAGAGGACAGAATGTAGATTGAGTATGGCATTTGGTTGAAACTTATCCCACTGCTTGCCTTGTTTATAGGAAATGTTAAAATAGATACTTCCTAAAACCTTGAATTTCTTCAGCTGGATTTAAACCTGTTTGGAGAGCTTTTACTGATTGGAGTGTCAGAGATTGGAATGTGGATGGAGTTTCCTGAAACTCAAAGTTCCTTAGTGTAATTCCCTGAACTAGCTTAGAAGGATGAAGGATGATCTGTTTGAAACTTACAGAATACTAAGCTACCTGGAAAGAACGGAGGTGGAGAAGATGTTTCTACTAGTACGAGAGACTGGGACCCAGGGGCACAGCCTCAGAGTGAAGGGACGGCCCTATAGAATGGAGGTGAGGAGGAATCTCTCCAGCCAGAGGGGGGTGAATCTGTGGAACTCATTGCCGCAGAAGGCTATGGAAGTCAATGAGTGTATTTAAGACAGAGCTAGTTAGGTTCTTGGTTGATTAAGGGTAATGAATGGGGTTGAGAAACATTTTAGCCATGATCAAATGGTAGAGCAGACTTGATGGGCCAAATGATCTAATTCTGCTCCTATATCTTTGTGGTCTTATGGCTACAGTTTAAGTTAATCAGTTTCAGATTACTGTGATACTAGCTGATGTAAATATTGGACAACTCAGATGCCAAACAGGAATCTGGATTAATAGGTCATAATTTTATTTGTTTTAGTTTTAACAAACTGGTATCTTACTGAGATGTAAACATGCAATGCTACTGACAATGTTTTAACAATAAACTGAAATGAAGATAGAATAATCCAAACCATCCACGTATAATACAAATAGGGGAGGCAATGGCTGAGTGGTATTTTCCACTGAACTGTTAATCCAGAGACCCAGAAAAAGTTCTGGGGACCCAAGTTCGAATCCTGCCATGGCAGATGTTGGAATTTGAATTCAATAAAAATATCTGGAATTAAGAATCTAATGATGACCATGAAACCATTGTCAATTGGCAGGGAAAAACCCATTGGGTTCACTAATGTCCTTAGGGAAGGAAACTGCCATCCTTTCCTGATCTGGCCAACATGTGACTCTAGACCCACAGCAATCTGGTTGACTGCCCTCTGGGTAATTAGGGATGGGCTATAAATGCTGTCTGGTCAGCAACGCCCTCATCTCATAATGAATAAAGAAAACAAAATTCAAAGATTTTTCAACACACGGTAAAAGTATAATCCCATTAAACCCAAAACATTTCTCTGTAAATTAAAAAGAAATAAAACACTATTTGTGTAGTATCCAAAACACATCACTGGTACAGCACTCAACACATTATTTGTATATTACTGGCATCACCATCCTTGTATCCAACACTTCAGAAGGTTTAAGTGATTTGTGACCAATGTTCCCTCTAAGCTGCATGGTTGTGTGTGCATGCAGCATGTTCCATGCACAGTGATTGGCACTGACACATGCATTGATGCAGCATTGACTTCTGATTCCGTAAGTTGCTGCCTCGCATGTGCCTCGGAGACCTGTGCAGTTGGTAAGAAAATTAAAGAGAACCCTGCTTGTGACTTCAATGTTTAGATTGCAACTGTGATAGCTTCTTAATGGAGCTATCGTACACTTGCTTAAATGTACTTAGTTTTAAGTAATCTCTTCAGGGGTTTATTCCAATACTTTTGGTCTGGGACTAAAACCTTCCCATTTATCCTCCCCTCCTCAGGCATACATTTTACAGACTTCATAGAACTGCTCCACTCAAAGACAAAAGTGAAACTGAAAGTCTCTTTCTCTGTCAACTTGGACATTTCCTTTAAGCTTAAAAAAAGTTCCAAAAGTCTCCAACTAACCTTGAGGTCTCATTATTTACAATGCTGGATCGCACACGATCTAAAATAAACAAAAGTCCAGAAGTGCACAAAACTCATTCACTCTAAGGCTGGGCTCAGAAACCATTTTTAAAATAAATCACCATGATTATAGAAATACTTACAAATTTAATATTGATGTCAGGTACACTGAAACCCATTGCTTCATATACATTCAACGCATGCAACATGCATTCTTACAGACCCATTCTCTACAAACAGAAGGAATATTTTCAGGACTTGTACTAATTTTGAATGACCTGGGAGCATCTAAAGCTCATTCTTTCGCAATGCTTTGCCCGTGGCAAACACTTGACCAGTCAGAGTCAACTTGACAACGAATCAGCATGAGTTATAAATTGATGTGGTTTGAAACATGACATTCTTGCATTGGTCCTGAGGAGTGCAAAATGAAAGTTTTGACAATATGTCTCTCTGTTCATCAATATTTGAATTACAGTATGAGGAATATAAGGGAATATAAACGGGAGGCGATGGCCTAGTGGTATTATTGATGGACTGTTAATCCAGAGACCCAGGTAACAATCTGGGGACCTAGGTTTGAATCCCACCACAGCAGATGGTAGAATTTGAATTCAATGAAATATCTGGAATTAAGAATCTAATGATGACCATGAATCCATTGCCGATTGTTGGGAAAAACCCATCTGGGTCCCTGATGTCCTTTAGGGAAGGAAACTGCCATTCTTACCTGGGCTAGCCTACATGTGACTCCAGACCCACAGCAATGTGGTTGACTCTCAACTGCCATCTGGGCAATTGGGGATAGGCAATAAATGCTGTCTGACCAGCAATGCCCTCATTCCGTTAATGAATTTTAAAAAAATATTTAGTTAGTGTGCTAGTGGAGTGAGCTTCAATGGAATAGAATATGAGTGGAATGAGGTGCTGTTGGATAATTAAGATACCAGAAGATGCTCTTCTATAGGCCACATTGATTTGCCTCAACCTTAGATTTGCTTGGTGTGCTTATTCTACATTTTTTCCTTCCCATCTCTTTCCAGCTCTTCTTGTCGTGGAAACGGATACATTCGGCAGCCACGTGAGAATTAAGGGCAAAGAGACAAATCATTACATCTGCATGAGCAAGCGAGGGAAGATTCTGGGCAAGGTAATTGTTATTTTCTGAGACATGTTTCCACAATGAGGCCCTCAGGTATCATGTGGACAGAGGAAAGGCAGCAGACCATTCAGCCCTTCAAGCCTGTAATTCATTTCAGTTGGATAGGGTTTAATCTGGAACGTAACTCCATTTGTCTGCCTTGACTGTGTAAACTTATATATGCCTTGGCTAGCAAAATCCATCCATGTTTAGCTATCTTTGTTGATCACCATTGTTAAAGTGGAATGTTACCTTTGTGCTTAGGATGTTCAAGTGTAGTTTTTGAATCTGCTTGATCAACTTCTTTTGAAAGTTTCACTGTGCTAACTAAATGTCATTGAATAATGCAGCCCAGGAGGCCTTTCAGCCAGTGAGTCTGAACTACCCCCAGTGCTTGTCCACAATCTATTCGGTCCTTTCACCTACTTCCCCATATCCCTGCAATTTTCACCTTAACATTTGTGCTATTCCCTTTTGATGGTTACTATTCAATACGTGTTCACTGCCCTGTCAGGTAATACATTTTAAATGATTGTTGAAAAGGTTTTCTCTCATGTTGTCTTTTCCAATTACTTCAGATCATTATTCTCTGCTTCTTCAGGGAAGAGGGATAAGGTCACTGGGCTAGTAATCCCGAGACCCAGGCTAATGGTCTGAGGCAGTGAGCTTGAATCTCACCACGGTGGATGATAGAATTGGAATTTGATTATTAAATCTGAAATATTTTTCTAATTTATTACTATGATGTTGTAAGTTTGAAGGCATGTAATGGTGGACTTTTTATTTCTTTATTTCTCTATATTTTCCTAAGAATTTGTATGCAAGAATCTGTACTTCGGTATCTTTATACCTAAGATGGTACTATAAGTGGCGACTTTTAACCTTTTCACTGAACTCTTGTGAGTACGTGTGACAATAAAGCTAACTCAATTCAATTCATATTTAAAAAATGAGGTTGTCTAACGACAAGCAAGAAACCATTGTCATCTGGTTCACAAAGGCCTTTCAGGGAACGAAATCTGTCAGGATTACCTGGTCTGGGCTACATGTGACTCCAGACCCACAACAATGCATATGACCCTAAACAGCAAGACATTCAGTTCAAGAGCAATAAGGGAATGAGCAGGAAGTGCTGGTCTTGCCAGTGCTGCCCAAGTTCAATGAAATAATTGTAACAACGCACTGGGCACAATTTCTCTTTATGTACTATCAAAACCATTCAGAGTTTAAACGCCTTTACCAAATTTCACCTTACCCTTCTTTGTTCGAGAAAGAACATGGTCTCCGCGTAAGTAGAATCCCTCAATCCTGGATTCTTGATGTTCATCCCATAAGATATGGGAGCAGAAGTAGGCCTCTCTGCCCATTGAGTCTGATTCGCAGTTCGATAAGATCACAGCTGATCTGAAAATCCTCAACACCACTTTCCTGCCTTTTTCCCCGAATCCTTGAATCCCTTACTGATTAAAAATCAGTCTCTCTGAGCCTTATATATATTTAATGACCCAGCCTCAATAGCCCTCTGCAGTAATCCCACAGACTCACTACCATTAGGAGAAGAAATTCATCTTCATCTCTGTTTTAAAAGGACGACTCTTTATTCTGAGATTTATCGAATATCTTCTAGACTCTCCCACAGGGAAAAAAATCTTTTTGTATCTGTTCTGAAGAGTCTTATATGTTTTAATAAAGTCATCTCTCATTCTTCTAAATTCTCATGAGTACTAAAGTCTGGTCTTCAGCATTCAACACATCATACCAACTCAACTAGTGTTTTATATACTTAACTTAATCAAAGCTTTTGTACTCTATGCTCATCACTACATGGTATAGTAAATAGAATATTAGATACTTTAGACATCTCTTGGTCTCCCAATTAAAAAGCTAAGTTTCTCAATGCAATATCTCTCCTTGGTTGTTCTTTCCACTCTTTAAGTCTGTAGGACCATTATCAGTCTCCAAAACAGTCATTGCTAACTCAGAGACAACAAGGTGCAGGGCCGGATGAACACAGCAGGCCAAGCAGCATCATAGGAGCAGAAAGGCTGACGTTTCGGGCCTAGACCCTTCATCAGAAAAGGGGGAGGGGAAGGGGGTTCTGAAATAAATAGGGAGAGAGTGGGAGGCGGATAGAAGATGGATAGAGGAGAGGATAGGTGGAGAGGAAACAAACTGGTCGAAGAGGCGGGGATGGGACCAGTAAAGGTGAGTGTAGGTGGGGAGTTAGGGAGGGGACAGGTCAGTCCAGGGAGGACAGACAGGTCAAGGGGGCGGGATGAGGTTAGGAGGTAGGAGATGAGGGTGTGGCTTGAGGTGGGAGGAGGGGATAGGTGGGAGGAAGAACAGGTTAGGGAGGCAGGGACGAGCTGGACTGGTTTTGGGATGCGGTAGGGGGAGGGGAGATTTTGAAGCTTGTGAAATTGGCTGGGATTAATCTGAAAACTATTCCCTTTAGCTCTGGGATCTGCATCCCTATTCGCTAACATATTGCATAGGCAGTGACTGCTCTCAGGTGGAAAGGGTTGAATTATGTTGTGGTCGATGGTTATGGAGGAATTAACCTCTAAGTCTATTGTGTCACCATTCTTAAGAAATTGATTGATTGATTGATTGATTTTATTGTCACAAGTACTGAAATACAGTGAAAATCTACATTGATGTAGATGGTGGCGTGTTCTCCTCCTTTCTTGATGTCCTACAACCACTTCCATTCAGGCAGAAGATACAGAAGCCTGAACACATGCACTGGCAGGTTCAGGACCAGCTTCTTTCCAGCCGTTATCAGACTGTTGAATGGACTCTAGACTCAAATAATGTAACCTCTAAGTCTTTTTGATCTGTACATCCTTTGCTTGCTGTGATCTGCCTGTACTGCTTGTAAACAAAGCTTTTCACTGTGTGATGGGTCTTTGATGATGTTGGCCACCTTTCCACGGCAGCAAGCCGTGTAAATAGAGTCCATGGATGGAATGTTGGCTTCTGTGATGGTCTGGGCTATGCGCACACCTTCTGTAGTTTCTTAGGGTCCTGGGCAGAGCAGTTGCCGTACCAGGCCGTTATGCACCCGGACAGTTTGCTTTCAATGGTGCATCTGTAGATGTTGGTGAGGGACCTTATGAACATGCCAAATTTCCTGAGCTGTCTGAGGAAGAAGAGGCATTGTTGTGCCTTCTTGATCATTGCATCTACGTGGGAAGTCTAGGGCCTGTCGTCAGTTATTGTCACTCTGAGGAACTTGATGCTCTCCACCCTCTCAACTTCAGTTCCATTGATGTAGATGGGGGCGTGTTCTCCTCCTTTCTTCCTGAAATCGATGATCAGTTCTTTAGTTTTGCCGACATTGAGAGACAGATTGTTTTCATTGCACCACGTCACCAAGCCCTCTATCTCCCTTCTGTATTTTGATTCATCGTTGTTAGATATCCATCCCACTACTACAGCAAACTTATAGATGACGATCTTTTGGAATTTGGCGACACAGTGTACAGGGAGTGCAGTAGGGGACTGAGGACGCATCCTTGGGGTGCTCCAGTGTTGAGTGTTATTGCGGAGGAGGTACAGTTACCTATCCTCACTGATTGCAGTCTGTGGGTCAGAAAGATGAGGATCCAGTTGCAGAGGGTGGAGCTGAGACCAAGGTCACGGAGTTTTGAGATCAGTCTGGAGGGGATAATGGTGTTGAAGGTGGAGCTGTAGTCAATGACCAGGAGTCTGACGTAGGTGTCTTTATTGTCCAGATGTTCCAGGGATGAGTGCAGGGCTAGGCATAGGGTATCCTCTGTGGACCTGTTATGTTGTTAGGCAAACTGTAGGGGTTGAAGGCAGGCTGGGAGACTGGAGTTGATGCGAGCCATGACCAGCCTCTCAAAGCACTTCATAATTATTGACGTCAGAACCACTGGGCGGTAGTCATTAATGCACGCTGCATGTGTTTTCTTGGGTACGGGGATGATGGTGGTCTTCTTGAAGCAGGTGGGGACTTCGACTTGTAGGAGGGAGAGGACCAAGATGCCAGTGAATACCTCCACCAGTTGGTCCACACAGAATCTGAGTGCTTGGCCGGAGACGCCGTCCAGGCCAATCAGTTTCCTTGGGTTGACTCTCAGGAAGACTGATCTGACTTCTGTAGCGGTGACAGAAGGAACAGGTGTGTCCAGGGCTGTTGGGGCAGGCGTCGCGATGCTGGTGGTATTCTGCTTAAACCGAGCATAGAAAGCATTGAGCATGTCAGGGAGGGATGTGTCATTGTCTGCTATCTTACACTGTTTCATTTTATATCCCGTAATGTGGTTTAGGCCTTGCCATAGACGGTGGGAATCTGTTTGGTAGGTCAGGGCCTCTAACTCGGTCCTGTACTGCCTCTTGGCCTCCCTGGTGGCTTTGCGAAGGTCATATCTGGATTTTCTGTATTGATCCGGGTCACCCGACTTGAATGCTGCACATCTAAGTAGGGTTCTTAGTAGCTTGCATTTATCACACTCTATCTCATCAAAGGGGACACAATATACTTACCCAACCCAGGCAAGTTTACAGAAATTGCTAAATTGTTACAGCACAGAAGGAGGCCATTTAGCCCATCAAATCTGTACCAGCTCCCCAGATGAACAATTCACTTCACACCACTCCCCTGCCTTTCCCCCTCCATATCCCTTTGCATGTTTTCCTTTTCTGATAACGATCCAATTCACTTTTGAATGTCTCAGTTGTATGTGCTCCTCCCCATGGTTAGATAGTGTCTTCCTGATCTTGACCGTGAAAAATTCTCCCTCATATCCTTAGAAAGTTGTCATTCAGACATCAATGCCTGAAAGAGCTGACCAGGATGACACAATGGGCCAAACTGCATCCTTTTGTACCTTCTGTGGTTAAATTTGTCCCACTCATTTATTCTTTTCCCACAAGCCCAGGGAATAAAAGCGATGGTGGCAGCATGGATAGAGTGTTGAGTGAGCAGTGGAGATAGTAGTATTGTGGTATTGCTGATGGACTAGAAACCAAGACGGCTAACT